GGTGCCTGGGACTCAGCACTCATCAGGTCCCTCTGAAGTTGGTGCTTTCAGGATATTCCCTCTGGGTCAGGATCAATACCTGAGTAGTTGATCTGCCAGTCACAGAGATTGGGTCTGTTGCTCCATGGTGAGCAAGTTGGAGCACTTTCCTGCCCCACCTTCAAGATGGTTGCGGGTTGCCTCACTTGTCCACTCTGGTGGGACTGTGCCTCTAGACTCCCTCCATAGCCCCTGCTGCTAGTGCCTGGCCAAGCACTGAAGTGGTGAGGCAAAGTCTGGAGCCAGCACTCTCACCTACTGCAGTGGTGTGGCAAAGCCTGGGACAGTAGTCTTGCCCGCCGCTTCTTCACAAGAGAACCTTTATCCATTTTTTTTTAAATGGTGCTAGACTTCTGCAACCCGAGAAAAGCCAAGGACCAAACAGAGAAGTTGCAGCACCAGCTGTTGACCTAGGACCCTGGCCACTTTCTCATGAGCCCCCACTTAGTCAGTCTTTCCCAGCTTTTTCTTCCCAGGAAAGATTTTGTTGATTTTTGAAAAATGGCCTTTGCTTTTGCATCACAGGAATCACAGGGTCCAAGCCCAACAGCTGTGGCACCAGCCGCTGCACCAGGAAAACCCTGACTGCTAGCTCCCTAACCCTCACTCAGTCAGTTACTCACATGCCCACTCACTCACCAGAATGTACACAAAATTTTCCATACACTCACTCAATCATGCCAGGGCTCACATAGTCCAACTGGCTCTGCTGTCATCTTCCCACGATCTTAATAATTGGACAAACCAGGGGAAGTCAGCATTAGTGGAAGGCCCAAACTTCACCTGTACGTAGACTACTTATGTTCCTAATCATGACTTGTACCCCACATCTTTAAAATAATAAATAATTGTGCAAAAATTTTCTAGGCAGTTTTGCTTTGGTTTAGGAACTAAGAACTTGAGGGTACAGAAACACATAGAACATAATTGTAATCACTGATAAACTCGTATGGTATCTAGGTAGAATATAAATGATTTGGATGCTAGGACTGTTGAGGGAATGCTTTTTTTCTACATAGGAAGAAGTGAAAGTAAATGAGGTGCACTTAAGCGCAGTAAGTGACTTGAAAAGAGAGACAAAGCCTGAAATGGTGAGTGAGAAGTTCTGCATTCTAGGTATTAAATAAATGAAGTGTGCAACTGGAAACAAATCAGTAACCACTCTTAGTTTTGGAATCCTCATCTGTTACAAGAAGACAGTAAACTAATTGCTTTAGAGGGTATTTCTAGTTCTAAGAGCCTATGCAGCCACTTATTATCTTGCAAGTGCATCATTGATGTTGGGTTTGGAGGGAAGCAGCACTCACCTACCCCCAACTACCCTTCCACCCACCTACCCCCTCCCTCTCTGCCCATCTGCCCCAAGCCCACATCCACATATCTCGCTTGAAACCTTCCAGAACCTGCTGCCAGCTGCCGAGAAGGGCCAGACAGGGACTTTCCAGCCCACGCCAGATGCAACGCTTCCAGCCCACATGGATGCAACCCTTTGTCTCCCCGTTTCACTGCTGCCCCTGACACCCTCCCGAATACACCACCCTTAAAAACCCAAGCCGCCCCTCCTTGGGCACGACTCCTCTGGCCCATCTTCCTGGACCATGGGACCTTGCCCAGGAGTTTCTCCCCCAATAAACGTTTGGTTTATACCAGCCCTTTGTCCTGTGCTTCTTTTGGTATCTCCAAACGTTACAATTGACACTACTGAGACTCTCCACACTTCTTTTCAAGCATAGGAGTGGACACTTTCCACATGCTCTCAATAGCGACTGACACTGAATGGGAAAAGTGAATATTGTAAAGGGGAAAAAATCCAGATAGTACAATTTTTTATGTTGTTCACAGATCGAAATCCAAGTTTTCCTGAAAGGCTACTTATATACCCAGAACAAGCTGATGATCTTTATTGGTAATAGGACTTCATATATATTTTCTTCTGGGTGCAATAGTTTTATAATCTCTCAATAAACAAAGCAAAGCATTTCCCTCTGAAAAGCTATCTGAGTCTTCATCTTGTCTTTAGGACTGACACATTACCATGATTACTGATGGGAGAAATATTGATTCCATTCAGAGAAAGTCCCACTAAACCCCAAATCACACATTCTTGTCTTCTGACTCCAAAATAAAAATGCCTTTAAGTTCACAATAAGAACAACTCAAAATCTGGGTCAATTAGCTTGAGATGAAATGATATATTACTGATATATTTGAGATACAAGCTGCCATGCTTTGTCAATTTCTTTAATCCACCCCTAGCAATCAAAAGAAATAGTTCTGAACTTTTATCTGTGGCCTTTGGTTTCATAGCTGTTGAACTCCTGATTAGTATCTACTTGAAAATGAAAATGGATTTACATCTCTGTAATAATAATAATTAGTTATAATTACAGCTAAAATTAAGTCTAAATTCTGTTCACATAATATAGTGTTTATTTTATATAGACCAGACCAATATAGCCAACAAAAGCCTCAGTCTTGCAAATATTATATCAGTAGCCCTACTTATATGCAGTTTTACTCTCTGCAATTTCCATCACCCATGGTCAACTGTAATCTGAAAATATTAAATAAAAAAATTCAGAAATAAACTATTTACAAGCTTCAAACTTCTTGCCATTCTTAATAACATGATGAAATATCATGCTGCCCCACTCTGTCCTGCCTGGGAATCATCTCTTTGTCCAACATATCCACACTATATATATTAACCACCCCATAGTCACTTAGTCACCCCTTAGTCATTTAGTAGCCATCTCAGTTGTCAAATCAACCATCATAATATTGCAGAACTTGTCATCAGGTAACCCTTATTTTACTTAATAATTACCCAAAGTGCAAGGGTATTGATGTCATATTGTGACAATTGTTTTATCTTATTATTGTTATTAAACTCTTATTGTGCCTTATTTATAAATTAAACTTTATCATAGGTATATATGATATAGTAGTATATTGGATCATATGTGGTATGTAGGGGAAAAAATAGTATATGTAAGGTTCAGTACTCTCAGTGGTTTCAGGCATCCACTGTAAGTCTTGGAACATATACCCATGGATAAAAAGGGCCTACTATATTTCAGAAGAAAGCCTTAATTGAACATATTTATAACTAAATATCACTGAGAAGGACTTTCAAAATAAAAATAAAATCCATTTCTAAAGTAAATGTAAGCCATCAGTATTATAAAACATCATTAGATCTAAATAATATTTTATTATAAAAATCATAGTTCTAATAGTGACACATCAACTTACCTTAAAACAAGATTTTTCTATAAACTGGCAGAAAGTAACTTAGATTGAGATGGATCACCAGAACTAAAGAATTTATCATAAGATATTTATTTATACTAAAACAGAATTTTGAAGTTGTTTTATATTATTGAAAATTCGGTTGGGCACAGTGGCTCATACCTTACAATAACAGTATTTTGGGAGGCTAAGGTGGGAGGATCATATATTAATGTATAATTTGTAGGCCAAGAGTTTGAAATCAGCCCGGACAACATAGACCTCATCTCTACTAAGAAAAAAAAAATTTAGCCGTAGTGGCACACGCCTGAAGTCCCAGCTACTCAGGAGGCTATTCAGGAGGCTGAAAGATCACCTTAGCCTAGAAGGTCAAGGTTGTGTTGAGCCATGATCATGCCACTGCACTCCAGCCTGAGCAACAGAGTGAGATCCTGACTTCATTAAGAAAAAAAAAAGAGAGAAGAAAAACAAAAATTCCGCATAGCTTTATCTATATATGATTGTTTTAATGTGGGAGGAGAAATTTTAGCTTGCTCAAAAGAATTAAGCCCATGTCATGTGAAAAAAACAATAGAGAAGAACAATAGCTATATTGTTCTACCACTCAAGGTATATCATGTAAATTTGGATTTTCTTCAGTCACTCAAGTTAAAACTCAGGAAAATGAATGAGAAGAGCAAGTTAACTGGAAGAAGAAAGGTTACTCTATTTTTTTTAAATGAACATAATAAAACTTCTTATGGAATGTGGTTTATTTTGTTTGTCTCTGCTTTGCCACACACAGGGAAAACAAAACAAAACAGGAATTTACAGAGTAAACAATGACTTCTTGCACTAAAACAATGACAGAGCAACATATAAAATATTAGAAAGCAGAGGAAAAAATTAAAATAACAGAAAACTCTTTTCATTAATTTTCTGCATGTCAAACAGGCCCAAAGACCTGAAGTGACAGACCTGAAGGTGAGCCATATTTAAATCCTGAGAAATGTTGTTTCTAATTAGTTTTTACTAGTGAATATAAGAAATATTAGCATTAAGATAAGCAATGACTGCTCATGTTAGCAGTTTCATATTTTTGTGTGTTTAAATCTTACCTGAAACAGGTTCTTATAACTTTATACATCAAAATTCCAGACCAAACTAGCTCTTGAATTAATGCCTATTTCCCTATTCCAGTTGCCCTTGCTAAAAGCTTTGGTGTTGTCTTTTAATCTTTTCCAACTTTTATACACTGCATCTGGACTCTGAAAATCTTGTGACCCATAACTTCAATTTTCTCTCACCAGCTTAGTCCAAGCTATTACCACATTTTACCCTGACTGTTGAAAGTTTTCACCAGTTTCCCCTGATCCTATGCTACAGATAGAACATACCCCATGTTCTATTTAAAGTGCTTCCCAACCCCTGCCCTATGAATTAAACATGAGACTTTGTAGAATGTAAAGACTGAGCAGTACATAGAAGATGTTAAATACTTATTCAATAAATGAGTAATTGAAGGATCTTGATGGGATAGTCAGAATGAAGAAGATATTGTATGATTAAGGGTGATTAAGGGTGGGTTCAGCACGAGTAGGGATAAATATTGTGATAGTAGTTCATAAAAGTTTAAGTCCGTAGATGTCTTATTGTGTTGCTTGTGACATTCAGCTGAACCTGTCAAAACACCCAAGCTTCTGTAGCCCATGAGCTTTGAGTTACACCTCTCAGCGCTGGTACTTGAATAGCCTGATAATTCCCTGCTTGATTTCCTGGGTTCGTACTCCATAAACGATGGGGTTGAGGGCTGGTGGGATGAGGTGGTGCAGGACATTGAGAAGAATGGGTACCTCTGAGGGTATGTTCTTTCCTGCCTTGTTTGTGAAGATGAAGACTAGTAGTAAGGTATAGAAGAAAAGTATGAGAATAAGATGGGAACCACAAGTACTCAAAGCCTTGGTGGCTGCACCCCCTGACTTCAGGTGCATAACAGCCCTCAGTATGAAGCAGTAAGATAGCAAGATGAGTACCAGGTCAGAACCTAGTAGGCACCAAACACTCACAAACTGGTAGAGCTTATTTAGGCGAATATCTCCACAGGACAGCTTTGCTACAGAAATGTTGGCACAGATACAGTTCTCTACCACATTGCTGGCACAGTAGTTGAGCCTCGCAGCCAGGACTGGAGTGGGCATTGTGGCTAGTAGATTGCGGAAGACAATGAAGATAGCTGCATTCATGACAAATTGTTCAGTGATGATGGATGGGTATCGCAGTGGATGGCAGATGGCCACATAGCGGTCATAGGCCATGACCAGAAAGGTGGAGGATTCCATGGGAAGGAAGGTATTCATGATGAACATCTGCAGGAAGCAGCCCACAAAGCTGATGGGCTTCATGTTGAACCAGAAGATGAGCAGGACCTGCAAAAATTGTTGTTCTCAAAAACACTGTACATCATTCTCATTCTAGAATACTCAACCCTTCAAAAAACCTTTAGATTATTTCAACCATTCATATCCCCAAATTAGAGCCCCATAATCCCAGGCAGGACAGCATCCTCATTTTGAATACTTTCTATGTGTGTTCCGATTGTCAGAAACTGAGTTATACTCCTACCCTCAATTTAGAGATTAATCTTTTGTTTACAAAATGTTTATTTCTAGCCCTGAGCTCCACAGTTATTAACCTGAACTCCAGCAGGCACGTCTTCCCATTACAAGACTTATGTATCACAGGAATATCAAATGCAGTAAATCCAATGCTTACATTTGGAAACCTCTAAATCCTTCATATACATAAAAAACCTCTTCCCACTGTACTTCCTATCTCAGTATATGACATAAATGTAATTGAATTTGAATAAATTAAATTACTTTTTAGAAATAAAAGTATAGAGTACTTGGGTTTTATAGTTAGAAAACTCAGGGACAAGAAGAATCTTCTTAGAAGTAAAAGTTGAAACCTGGAATATAGCTAACTCAGACATTGAGAGAGGGCCTTTAATGAACACATAAAATGACACAGGCATGAGAGGGGACATACCTGGGAGAGCTGTGATAGACCTGGTATGATGGTGTGGGTGATTCATTAAGCATTTTACTTCAGGATGGGGAATTTACAGCAGCACAGCAAGGTACCATTTAAAGAAAGATGATAACTGAATGCCTAAAGAAAGTCCAGAGAGGGTCTGACCTTAGGAATGACTGTGAGGCAGAGGATGACGTCCAGCACAGAGAGGATGGCTAGCAGGTAGTACATGGGCTCATGCAGAAGTACCTCCTGCCAGATGGTGAGTAATAACACAAAGTTGGCCCCAAGGGCCAAAACCAGGAGAGGAGCCAGGACAATAGATAGCCATTGCTGTGTGTCCTGCATTCCTGGGAAGCAGATCATCAGGAATTCGGTCACCTGGGTTCCTGAGCTGTTGTAGAATGATACCATGACAGTTGGGTGCGGCTAGAGATGGCTGAAAGGAAAGAAGCATGGATTCAGGATTTGACTGTTTCATTAATAACCTTCTAACTGATCTGCCTTCATTCTAGGCACTCAAATGTTCTCACCATTTTATTGACATAATAGTCTGTCTTTAATTTAAATTGGACTATATCACTCCCTGTTAAAAGCAATTTCCTTAGCATTCATAATTTTATGGATAAAGAATAACTCCCTCTACATGAGTATGTTCCAAATCCAGACAGATTCCATCGTCCCCCCCAACACACACACACAGAAACTGCCATGTCTGTAGAACATGCTTTGCTTTGTCTCACCTCTGTGTCTTGATATGTGTCATACCCTTCTCCTAGAATCAACTAGTTTACTCTCAAATAACTAACCTCTGCTTATTCCAATTTATCCATACTGAGAGTTACACTTCTTGGAAATTTTTAAATTTTTTTTTTATTTTGGAGATGTGGGGTACAATTCAGGGTTAGGTATAAAAATGTTCATTATGCAGGTACCCTTGTTGATGAGGTGTGCTGCCCATTACTACTCATTTTACACACTTCTCGTTTCCATTGTTCCTCTATGATTCTTAAATATCTCAAGCATGTTGCTATTAAAGCATTAATAAAACTTGCCTATACTTATTGATGTTTCTATTTATCCTTCAAAAAACGTGTACTACTTCCATGAGTGATGAAATCATATCTTTTTACTACAGCACAGAGAAACACCAGGTGACATAAGCACTCAGTAACCACAGTTTAGATAGATAAGACTGGTAGAATATTGAAAGCACATAATGTTCTTGGTGACATCTCTTTTTATTTAGCATCTCCATATTGTGCTCTACCATAAACCACAGGAAGTCTTACTTAAACACTCAAAAAAATCTGAACGAAGGAAAAGACAGGAAAATTTAGTGGTGAGTAAAAATATATATATGAAGCAACTTAGTGGTGATAAAAAATAAATATCAAAGACACCTGTGCAGTAGTTTTTGTTTTGTTTTGTTTTGTTTTGAGTATTTAACTTAGTTAACTACTACTTGAAAAAAGAAACAATGAATTTCTCAGGAAAGGAAGAAAAAGAGAAAATGAGCTTTCTAAGAAAACGGAAGAACTGAAGAAATACCTACATATGCCCCAGGATCTAGTGTTACACAGACTAAAGCACAAGTTCTCTTCTAACTGTCTCAGAAACTGCTGGTGAAGAAATTGCCAGGTTCTGCTGTGTTCTCCACTGAAGAAAAGGAAACATCTTTATTTGTGATTTTAGGGCACCACAGGGATATAAGCACAAAAAATATATAGATTTTAACGTGGTTTTGAGCTGTTTTTTTTCTCAAACATATAATGTGGGCTTCTCATCAGTATTTTATTTTTATGTAAACTGGTAGTTCTTAGATGTGAGTGTGCATCAGAATCACCTGGAGAGTTTGTTAAAACATGGATTTCTGAGCACAAACCTAGTACTACAGATCTGGGATGGTTTACCTTTCTAACAAATGTTCAGGTAATGGTGATGCTGCTTTCCAGGGATAGTACTTTGAGAACGACAGAGCTGTACTCAATTCTGATACCTGACCTAACCTCTGATTTAGACTAACCCTAATCCTAATCTAAGGCAAATGCCTCAATACATCCAGACCTAGCCTCTGCTCTGCTCAGTTTCAGATATCAAAGTTTTAACTTCTTCCATTATTTTCAGTTATTTAAGCACAACTCTGACCAGTCTCTGGCCTCTCAATGAGCAAGTTGTCTTTCTCCCATGGACTCAGAAAGTTCTATAGACTTTCTTTTCATGGTTTTGTATCTCTGCCTGAGTCTACAGTTCTTAGCCTCTTTTCCTAGGATGATCAAAGCTCATTAAAGTCAAGGACACTTTGTCCTTCGCTTTTCTCTCTGGCAGTTGACATAAATGCAGATTCAATATACCTCTAACAATCAGAGAAGGAATCCTCCTCTCCAGTCAACCTGCCTACCAGACGCAGACCTGAGTTCACATTCCATGAGCTCAGCTGACTCACATTCTAATGTGCTCATGTTGTTCTGACCTAAGTGATGTTCAGGGTCTTCAAATATTAACATCTAGAGAGTGCAATGGTATTATCTAAAATAAACAATGAACTAAGTCAGAGAATAAACTCAAAGTTTCACTTATGTTTGGCTTTCCAGTGTATTGTTGTCAAAAGCACTTACAGAAAAAGTATTCTCCAGCAACAGTTTTGATCATCCAGTGGTTCTCAGACAATGTGTGACTCCTCAAGTTCTCACTGCCCCTACATGTGGTTTTGGGCCCTGGATGGTTTTATGAAAATGTTATCTCTATAATAGCCATTCTCCTGTGGCTGTAAAAACAGTTGGTTTGGGAATCCTGTTGCCAGAGTTTCCCACCTCTGTACAGATACACAAACATCTCCAATGTAAAAATGGAGGTTTCTACATTTAAATTCAAATGAATGAAAAAGTGGTAATCAACTTATGGTCTTTCTTAGGGTGACTAAGAGCTACATTACCTGAAATGTTTTATTTGCCATGGAAAGGAGTATCATTTAGGGACATGAAAGCTATATTTAAAAGATCCTTTGAGACAAATAAAATTAGACTTACAAAACTCACTTCATATTACATATAAGCTGCATTCTTGAAAAACTGTTTTTAGAATAAGTATTTTATGATGATTTATCATTAATTCTTACTAAGTTTTAGAAATACCTTCACACAGGGAAAAATATGTCACTTAAAGTAAAATAATTATACAAAATTCAGAACACTCATTTAAAGTTCATCCATTTAATTAGACTGTTTTCACCAAAATTAGACTGTTGTCACCAAATAACAGTAAAAGAATGCATTAAAAATTTGATTAGCCCAAAATAAGACAATAAATATGAAATCTAAATATAATGTGGTAACTATAAAACAATCAGTAATTTCATTTATATAAATGAACAAAGTATTCCAAGTAAAAGGCTAAAACAGTCAGATTGAATATATTCATGTTGCTTATAAAAGGCATATGTTAAATACAATCATTAAAAACAGAGGAATGAAAAACATATACCATAGAAACACTAACCAGGAGAATGTCAGGTAGCTATACTAATATGGTTAATGCAAACAATAAAGCAAGAAGCCTTAATAAAAAGAGGCATTTGATAATAATAAAGTGGTCATAATAATTAATTAGAAGACCTAAATGACAAATTCTATTAAAATAAAGCAAAATTAACAGAAACAAAGGGGGAACTAATTCATAATCATGATGAGAGACTTCAGCATCCCTCTCCTGAAAGATGGCAGTACAAGCTGATAAAAAAGAAATGCATATAAATATAGATCATAACAACATAACTAACAAACCTAACCCAAATGACATGTATAGAACATTGCACTCAATAACAATACAATTAATGTTCCTTTGAAGTGTATATGAAACACCACCTAAATGTTACAATATAAAAAAGGCTTAACAAAGTTTAAATCAATGAAATTATTCAAAATGTATTCTCTGACCACAATGAAAATTAAGCTACAAATCAATAATGATAATGTATCTTAACAATCCACACTTCATACCAATTGAATAATGCACACCTAAATAATCTAGGAGTAAAAGAAAAACATTAAAATGAAAATTATAAAATATTTAAACTGATGATAATGAACATGCAACATAAGCAACTTTATGTATACAACTTTTTCTTTCGGTATAGACAAAGAAATGCATAGCAATAAATATATAGAGGATTCTTTAATTATAATGGAGTTACATCCCAATTCACCCACTGCAGTTGAAGATATTGTTAAATTGAAAATACACTTAATAGATCTAACCTACAGAACATTATAGCTAAACCTAGCTTACCTTAAATATTCTCAGAACACTTATGTTAGCATTCAATTGGGACAAAGTCATCTAAAACAAAGTCTACTTTGTAATAAAGTGTTGACTATCTTATGCAATTTATTGAATACGATACTGAAAGTGAAAACAAAATGGTTGTATGGGTACTTGAAGTACAGTTTCTACCAAATGCACACTACTTTTGCACCACAGTGAAGTCAAAAAATCATAGGTTGAAACTTTGTGAGTCAGGGACCACCTATATAGCCAAATATACATACATATATGTATGTTACATATAGCACTTAACATATTTAACAATAAAATAAAATGTTATATACAAATCCAAAGAAGAAAGAATAAAAGTCAATAACTAAATGTCATCTTTAAAAGCCAGAAACTAGGGGGGGGGCAGAAACTGGAGGGGGGGCACATCTCATCAACAAAGTTACCTGCATCATGAATATTTGTATACCTAACCCTGAATTGTACCTCACATCTTTAAAATTAAACTGTTTTGAGCAGTGTAAAAAGCATCTCAATAGGTGTATTACATCAAATGGAGAGTATTTTGAAGGTGACTGAAGCTTAGACATGTAAGAATAAATATGGGCAACCCTCTTTCATGTCCCTTCCTGCTGGGGGAGATTTTCTATCTTCTTAAAATACTCCTACTTTCTAAAAAAAAAGAGAGAGAGAGAATAAATATACAATTTTCTAATAGGTAAATTCCATTTTGGGGTCCCCCTTTGTATTTTTGCATCATATGTTTTAAGACCATGTTATTAAGTGTATACAAATATAAAATATTTATGTATTCTTGGTGAATTAAAAATTGTCATTATGAGAAGACCCTCTGTAACTCTTTTACCTTAAAAAAAATTGGCTTATATTAATAAAGTTACATCAGTGAAAAAAATTAAAAGTCAAAAACTGCCAGGGTAGGGAAGAAGAGAAGGGATACATAACATAAATAAGGGTAACTAATCTCAGACCAGGTGAAGTGGGGACCAAAGGGGGGCCCAAACTTTACTTGTATGATTACCACTTGTATACCTAATCTTGAAATGTACCCCACATCTTTAAAATAAAAATTTTAAAAGACAAATGAAAATAGTTGAAAAGGTAATAATTAAGATAATAACAGA